TATGAGTCTCCCCGTTTCTCCCCGTATGAGTCTGGGTCCCCAGAGACTCGCCCGGAACTGGAGTTCAGAGCAGTCGGGAGCTTGAGACTCCCTCCCAATTGAAAAAGACAACCGCATCCTCAGTTGCCAGCCCTTTCCACGCGTGCCTCCGTACCTCTGCACTTTACTTCCACAGCTCCTCTGAGTCTCAGTGTGCTTTTTTCTTTCCTTCTAGTTGTAGAATTTCCACTCAGCCAGCCTTCCTGTGGTTCTGGATGATGTCCATTTTGTCTTTTAGTTGTATTTTTGAATTTGTTGTGGGAGGCAGCAATTTCCAGTGTTGACCTATGCCGCCATCTTGGTTTCTCTTTTGAGAAAATGATTTTTAAGCACAAAATGTTGAATGGGTGAGGGAAAAAGCCTTGTGAACATTTGGGAACATAGATATTCTCCTGAGTTAAGGGAGCAGCCAATACAAAGACCATGTTGTAGAAGTGTGCCTGGCATATACAAAGATGGACAAGCTGATCGGTGAGTCTAGAACTGAGTGATATAGGGAGAGAGTAATAGCAGTTAAGGTCACAGTTAAAAGTGGATGGTGGGCAGATTACCTGAGATCTTGAAGAAAATTTCATGAACTTTGCCTTATACTCTGAGTGAGGGTTTTACGCCAATGAGTGACATGAATCAGCACTTTAATAGGGATACTGAGTACTGGGTTGAGATTACATGGGAGTAGGGGGTGAGGAGAGTGGCAGAAATGGAAGCCCCCTTTCCTGTGATTAAAGTCAACGGTGGCTTTGACCACTTGCTTAGAATATTGCAATAGCAAAGGGATTATTATTTGTTTTCATTTACAGATTGGAAATGTTTTAGCATATGAATATGCTCAAGTGGAAGAGACAGCTTCTGTGCTGGTATGGAAATAAGAGATTTACATGGCAGTCCATGAAAATAATCATGTTGGTGGGTAAAAAGCAATCTGAGAAACTTCTGACACAGTGGCCTGTTTTCTCTGTGCATGAGCGGGTGAAGTCATGGGCTATCTAAGCAAGACATGATAGGATGAGAGTGGCCCTCACTCTCCATCCGACTCCTTTAAGGGATGTGATCCTAATACATCAGAAGTTATGCCACACTGCTTTAGGCTCTGGTATAGGCACTCACTACTATGCCAGAAGTGTTTTTCCGTACTTGAGCCTAAGATTAGCATTGTAATACACAAGGTTATTAATATGTATTTACTACCTTTCCTCCTTCATGTTGTTCAGTCTGTGTAAATAATTCCACTCCTTCTGGAGTTACTCAAGTGAAAAGCTGTTTAATAACATATTAATGGCTGTATTTTGGATAATCTGTTCTTGCCACTTACAACTTAGTGGTTTTCAATTTAACAGCACTATGTGTTTTCTTTATATGTAACTAGAGGCCCAGTGCATGAATTCATGCACTGGTGGAGTCTGGCAGGCCCAGCCCTAATCGGGGCGGATCAGGGCTGAGCCTGTCGGGAGGAGGAGACGGCAGGAAATTGGCCAGCCAGCCCTACTCCCTATTGGGGTAGGGTGGGTAATCAGGGGTGGGGCCAGACAGGGGGAGGGGCTGCAGGCTGATTGGGGTGGTAGGGGCTCATTGGGGGTGAGGCTGGCTGGGGGGAGGGGCTGCAGGAGGTTGGCCAGCTGGCCCTGCCTCTTATTGGGGTATGGGGGCAATCAAGGGTGGGACCAGCCAGGGGGAGGGGCTTTGAGCCAATGGCATGGGAAAGGCCAATCAGGGGCAGGGCGACTGGGGGAAGTGGCTGTGAGAGGTTGGCTGCCAGCCCCACCCCCAGATCTGGTCAGTTTGCTGGCCACAGTGGGCGTCATAGCGACTGGTCGTTCTGGTTGTCACAGCGTTCTGGCCGCTGGCTTTTTATATATATAGATGTCCTCATTTGTGTGGGATTCTGTGTTCGGTTGGAAGTCACATGGGCCTGTATTTGTACCCACTTTCCTCTGCTCTGGAGGCTGCCCACTTACATCTTTGAGATGTGCCTCTGAGGTGGGCTGAAGTCTGTTTTACATGTAGTCCATGTCAAGTCAAATTCCAAACAAAATCTTCCAATTTGTTGCAATTCTAACACTCGTCTCTATCTGGAAACAAAGAACAGAAATTGATGTATTTATATAGACCACTAAAATATGCTAGGAGACCACGGGGGGTGCTTTTTTAGGGGCCCTAGAAACTGCTTAAAATCTCAACCAGTCATTCTGCTTTCTTTGAAAAGTGAACAGCTTTGGAAGGAGTATGTAATTCATTCTGAACTTATCAGGTATCTATCATTCAGTGTAATGCAAGTCTGGGAAGATTTGATGGGGAGGGAAAAGAAGAAAGCTTGAATGTAGGGCACTGCTGGAAACTGAGAGTGGTGTGTTAACAGAGGGAAAACACAGTGGATAAAGTTCGCCTCCTTCACCAGTGAGGACAAGCATATCTTGATAATAACTTTAACAGCTGAGGAGCTTTAGTGTGAAAAATTATTAACAAAAAGGACAGAGGAAAAGTTTTTATGATAGAAAACACCTGCCTGAAAGGAGCTGATAAGTGTTTCGTTATTTTGAATTTAGAGTTTATTACTTAGAATATTCACAGAGTGTTCAAAGACTTCCACTATGTCTTCATGGCATAGCTAGACACTCTCTGATAAATGCACTTGGGACACATTCTCCCCTAGTAAGACTTGGCCACAACCTTTGCTGGGGAATATTTTACAACCTATTGTGCTATCCAGCTCCAGATCTGACAAGTCACATTCTATTCCCTTCTCACAGATGGGCCAGCACGAGTGTTTTCACAGGCTGCTGCGATAGAGTTTGAGTCATATTGCATGTAACCTCAGCCTGTAGTGATTCATTTGAATCTTTAACTAAGCTTTATTGTTGGGATGTGGTCTGCAAATGTGACTCTATACTCTTCTTGGGAATATAGAGGGAGTTGGGGCTATTACTGAGTCTGAATTAGTGGGAGTTTAGACCAAAGGGGAAGCAAAACCTCTACAGAAAGGATGCTAGAAGGGTGGAGGGAAGTGTGAGGGGCCAAGTATGACACTATCTGGCTTCTGTCCTCTAGATTAGAAAATGAAGTGACTCCAGCAATGTGACTCTAAGGAAGTTTCCTGTTTTCCTCTCGTGAGAGCCAAGTGAGGGCTTTAACTCACAGAGGGAGCAAACGTCCTGTGAGACACAGTATTAGAACCAATGGAATGTTTTACCTGGAGTAGAGAAACTTGCAAGTGTCCAAAGGAGTCTGCGAGCCAAATGCAGACACCAGCCAGAATCAATGAAAACTGATGCTTCCTGGAGCTAGAGGGCGCTGAGGGTGCATACCAGAGTAGGAGACAGACTACCTGACTTGAGGTCCTCAACCCCACATCTCAATCAAAAAAGGGGAGGGAAAGACTGAAGCAATATTAGCAAATCAACACTGTGTAGTGAGTGCTTCATAGTTTACTATTTGTTAGCCACAATTTATGGATAAGAATTTATGGATAAGAATCTTATGAATGTGAATCTCTTATTCTTAGATAACTCATTCTACATAATTCCTCTATTTAGTGTCAAAACTATGACTAGGACCCAATTCTCTTTTTATGTTCTTTCCAGTATACCAAAATACACAGCCATGCCATTGGTACGATGTGAAACAAGCTAATGTATAAGAAGTGTTCATATGAAGTATATCTCTGCATATTAGTGATAGGAGTTCCATTGATAAACTGATTAACATGTCAAAGTCAGAGGTCCAGTTTTTCAATAAAGAAATAGTCACTGCCCTGACCAGTTTGGCTCAGTGGCTAGAGCAGGGGTGGGCAAACGTTTTGACTCGAGGGCCACAGTGGGTTCTTAAACTGGACTGGAGGGCCGGAACAAAAGCATGGAGGGAGTGTTTGTGTTAACTAATATAAATTCAAAGTAAACATCATTACATAAAAGGGTGCGGTCTTTTTTTTTTTTTTTTAGTTTTATTCATTTCAAACGGGCCGGATCCGGCCGGGGGGCCGTAGTTTGCCCACGGCTGGGCTAGAGTGTCGGCCTGTGGACTGAGGAGTCCCAGGTTCGATTCCAGTTGGGGGCATGTACCTTGGTTGCGGGCACATCCTCGGTGTGGGGGTTGTGGGAGGCAGCTGATGGATGTTTCTCTCTCATGGATGTTTCTAACTCTCTATCCCTCTCCCTTCCTCTCTGTAAAAAATCAATAAAATACATTTTTTTAAAAAAAGAAAAAAAGAATCACTTATGTGGGGGTGGGGGGACAAAGAGACCAAAGAACTTACATACTTACATGCATAGCCCATGGACATGGACAATAGGGTGGTGAAGACCTGGGGCATGGTGGGCAAAGGGGGGGGATGGGAAACATCTGTAATACTGTCAACAATAAACATATATACATATATATATATTGAAATAGTCATGACCATTTTTCTCCCTTCACAGCCACTGTATTTAACATTGGATTTATTCTGCCATCTGGTGGAATATTGACAAACTACAAGTAAACCTAAGGAATTCCCTGAAGTGGGTAATTCAATCTTTTTTTTTAATTAATGTCTTTATGTCTTCATCTTTACCCTACCTCTTTAAAACACTTCTATGTGCAGATTATTTTTTATTATTATTATTAGTTAAGGTATTACAAATGTTTCCTTATCCCCCCCCACCCCCCATAGATGAGCATTATTATTATTAGTATTATTATTTTTCATTTCTTCACCAGATATTTTCCTTTCAAGTTCCTGATAGTCACATTGCTTTTGGCATGATCCCCCGATACCTCACATGCTCCCATCCCCCTGTTGTCCATGTCCATTGGTTTGGCTTATATACGTGTATACAAGTCCTTCGGTTGATCTCTTCCCCTTACCCCCGCCCTCCCCTACTTTCCTTCTGGGGATTGATAGCCTGATCGCTGTTTCTCAGTCTTTGGGTCTGTCCCTTTTCATCAGTCTATATTGTTCTCAAGTGATGCCGAATTCATATTATTTGGTGACATAAAAATCCTCTTTATACCTCCTATTTCATACAAGACCCCTCTGCCAGAAAAAAAGATGACAACTCTCTTTCATTGTAGCACTCGCTTTATCGCTTTATTGCAGTGGTCTGGAACTGAACTCCCAATATCTCTGAGGGGTGCCTGTAAATACTTTTGTTATTAGAAAAATAATTTTGCCTTTTTTTTTAACTTTTGATTATAGAAATGGTGTTTAATATTGCTACTATAGGCAGCTGTTATTGTCTATTCATAGACTATTTACGTATTACTCCTATTTCCCTTTGCCAACTGTTCTCAGACGCTAGTAAGCTTATGTCTACACATTTCAGAAATGCTCCGTTCTACACACTTATGAAGGGAAACTGTGACAAAGCTAGGAAAAACATAGATTTTACAATAGTTCTTTACTTGTGCTACAGCTGAGCCAGCAGCCTCAGCGTCACCTGCATGCCCTGAATCAGAACCTGCAGTGTAACAGGATCCCCCGGAGACTTATGACTAATCATTTAAAAATATTGGTCCTATAAGTTTGTGAAGTCTCTATCTCTATTGGCTACTACTGTAGTCATTTCCCTTCCCCCGCTCCCCTTTCCCATGCCACCCCATCCCTGCCACCAGCTCACATGTAGCAGTTTTCATAGACTATTTTTATTGATTTTTTACAGAGAGGAAGGGAGAGGGATAGAGAGTTAGAAACATTCATGAGAGAGAAACATCCATCAGCTGCCTCCTGCACACCCCCTACTGGGGATGTGCCCGCAACCAACGTACATACCCTTGACCGGAATCGAACCTGGGACTCTTCAGTCCCCAGGCCAAAGCTCTAGCGACTGAGCCATACTGGTCAGGGCAGGAAATCACAATTTTTAAACAATGTCACATATTAATGAAAAATCATTTCCATGTATTTTCTCTTCCTGTGTTGTTTTTCTTTTAGTAACTCCTTTAGGGCACACTTAACTCTGGTATCAGTTTTCAAAAGAAACTGCTTACTCAGAAACCCAGTCTGTGTGGGTCTGGGTCTGAGCTTCTGAGTGAGCAGTGATTGTTCAATCCAGATGTAGAAAAATAGTCACTGGGGGGGGAAATGAATTGTTCAATGTCCCACGGTGGACCTGTTGATGAACAAACTTATGTTCACAGGCACAGCCCAAGATTCTCTACAGCGACCA